TATTTGGTTTCTTTCCCTTTTTTTGAGACAGGATCTCATGTAGTCCAGGCTGACCTTGAACTCATTCCAAAGCTGAGGATGACCTTGGAACTACTGATTCCTGCCTCTACCTCTAAAATGCTGGAATTATAAGGTATGTGCTGCATTGTCCAGCTTCTATGATTCTTAAATGAATAACAACATGTATCTTTTCCTAGCATTGCATTGGTTTTTTTATTGTTGTTGCTTTGTTTTGGTCTTTTTGAGACAGGATCTCCCTGTAGCCCCAGCTGACCTAGAATTTGCTCTGTAGACCAGGCTGGCCTTGAACTCACAGAGATCCACCTGCCTTTGCCTCCAGAGTGCTGGGATTAAAGGCGTGCACCACTACACTGGCTGCATTGTTATTTTAATTCTACAAAATTATCTCCATTTTTTGTCACACTCTAACTGCAAAGTATCTAAGTCAATATATTACTAAGGAGTTTAAAGAAAAAGGTTTTATTAATGCTAAATATTTCTCCTACCTGCATATTGTATTTGCAAAAACCTATCATTGTTCATAATACTGACATTACTTAAGAAAAAAATTGTAAGTGTACTAAGAAAACACTCTGAAACCATTTAAAATCCTTCTAGGCAAATTCACCTGTACCCCTAAAATGTTTAAAAACCAGGATTCATAAAAACTATACTGTTATAGAACTGATAAAAAAGGATTTCAACAGTTTCATTACATAATATTTGACTTAACTATAAAAAGCAAGCAAAACTTAAGGACGTTTATTTTTGTTTTGTGTCTACAATGATGAAGTCAATATAAATAATTTTCTTCCAAGAAGCAAAAAAATGTGTAACTAGAAAAAAAAGTAACCCTATACTTTCAAAGATAAATTACCAAAGAATCTTTCTTTTTCATAGAAATTTAGAAGTATAACAGAGGTTCATAATCAAATCCAAAAATCTTAAAAGCTGAATTGAATATTTTGGAATTTAAATATTTTCTCCCAGGTTTAGAAACAGTGGCTAACAACTCCCAGTGGAGGCCAGACTAGCAAAAAATTATCAAACACAAAAATGTTTCTGCAGTAAAATAAGTACTTGAAAAAAAGAGCCTCCTTTTAATTCAGATCCATACCAGTCATCAAAGCAGTTAATTTCAAATCAAGTTTTGAGGTCACTTTGATTTTGGAACTTCATGGATTTTGAATAAAAAAGGGGAATTCCAACAGAAGTTGGACAAACATCTTATTTTACTCTTAGGTTAAACAGTAGATCTTACAAATCATTATAAATTTCTTCATTTTATTCCTAAAAAATTTATTATTTCCTATTCTCCTAAAAAGTTCTGCTTATCATATGAGCTTATTTAAAGCAATGTGAATTATTAGTTTTGTATGTTGTATTTCTGTCAGGATTTTCTAACTCTACAGATTAGGGACTTTACCCATTTATTTTTGTAGTCCATATCCATCTATTTAATTAGCTATTTATAACTATGTTATCTAATGAAATATGCATTTGTTGAATTAAATATATAGATATCATCCTAACTAAACCCAAATTTCAGTCAGAAAGAGCTCTCACTGTTACAAACACCAAAATAGAAAGACTTAGGGAATGGTCTAACAAAAGTTTATGTAAAGTACAGGAGAAATGATCTCCGTGGATTAGTTAGGCATTAACATTTCCCATTTCCTTGGTTATTTCCAACATGTATTTGTCAGTGATATGGCAATTTCTAACTCTAAGTACTTGCTTGTTTTCCCTACCATTCCTTTTGTCCAATTATTTTTTGTCTCCTTCAATATCTGATCTCTTATTTGTTAACTATAGACTGAGCTCTCAGTATAAAATGAAGAACTGACTTCTCTCTTTATTTAAAAAATAAAAAGAAACAGTAAGTTATATGAAAATTATCTACTATCCCTATTTATAAGCCTCAAGACAGCAACACAAATCATATTTCAGCTGTTTTCTGTAATACATTACATAGTATAATAGCTGAATTCATAATTATAAAGAAAATCAAGCATTTATTCTTTTATGATACAAGATAAAATGCATTCATAGTTAAAATAGTAAATTCCCTTTATACCACTTCCTAATTAAAAAGAATTTTAATACTGTATAAAATCTTGTAATTACACTATCACTGACACTGTTGAGGTTTCAATTAGCTTAAAAGGTACATAAAAATTTGGACTCCGTGGTAATAAAAATTAAGCAGTGGGCTAGAGAGATGGCTCAGTGGTTAAGAACACTGGCTGTTCTTGAGGAAGACCTGGGTTCAAATCCCAGTACCGACGTGGCAGCTAACAACTGTCTGTAATTCCAGTTCCAGGGGATCTGACAGCCTCTTCTGTCCTCCACGGGCATTGCATGACATGGATATACTTACCTACATGCAGGCAATACACGCATACACATAAAATAAAAAAATATAAATAAAACATTTTTTTAAAAAAATTAAGCAGCTGTACAAAGAAATTCTCTACTTTTTCCTTTCTGATGTCTTATGGTTTGGGAGAAAAAGGAATCTATATTTGAAAAAGAGAAAGTCTTGATAATAGTAGCACAGTGCAACAGCAAGTGAATATAGTTTTTGGAGTTTAAGGTGCCTAATGTTAGCTATACCACTTATCTCTACTAACTCTCTTTGACTCAATTTCTGCATCTCTGGATGGAGGAAGCAACAGTATCCACCATATAGAGCTAGCTATAAGGGAGAGTTTTCTGTTCTGTTTTGTTTGAGATAGGATCTGGCATTGAATTCATGATTTTCCTGTCTCAGTCTCATGAATAAAGAGATTACATGCCTGTACCATCACACCCAGAAAAGAAGTTTTAAATAAAAGTAAATTTAGTGACAAGAAATGAGAACAACAACAAAAAAACAGTAAAAAGAGAAATGGGTGCTATATTAGTCGGGCATGGTGGCGCATGCCTTTAGTCTCAGCACTTAGGAGGCAGAGGCAGGCGGATCTTTGTGAGTTTGAGGCCAGCCTGGTCTACATAGTGAGTTCCAGGACAGCTGGGGCCACAGGGAGACCCTGTCTCAAAAAACACCAAAAAAAACAAAACAAAACAAAAAAAAACCCAAAACCAAAAATCCAACTACTAAGTTAATGCAGTACTGTCAATCAATAATTTCTGTGGTCTTAGTCATTTTCTACACCTAAACTGTCTTAAAATAGGTTATAAAAAACACAATAAATGTACACTTTGCATTTCATTCACTGAAATACCATGAATTAAAATAATTCACATCTTCACTGCTTGTAACAATCATTATATAAAATTTTAGCATTTGTAAAATATTATTACTAAAATGCCTCAAAGAAAGTTTCTGTTGAAATACGCTAACCAGTAGTTTGCATATGGTTAATACTCATTAAGAACATTTGATAGCTCAAAATATCAAATTCCCTGATCACATCACACAGCCCATCAAACATATCAGAAACAAAGCACTTTTTTAACAAATGTGGACCCATGGATTAGAACAGAGAACCTAGAAAAAAAGCCATGCAGCTATAGCTATCTGATTTTTGCCAAAGGAGCCAAAAGCATACACTGGAGAAGACAGTCTCTTTTACAAACAGTGCTGGAGAAACTCAACATCCACTTGTAGACCAATCAAAGTAGATTCCTATCTCTTACCCTATATATAAAAATCAATTCAAAATGGATCAAAGATCTTGATGTAAGTCCTGAAATTTTGAAACTACTACAGTAGGACAGAAATCTCTTCAAGATATAGTAATAGACAACGACTTTCTGAAAAGAACTCTAGTAGCTCAAGAAATAAAGCCAAGAATTGATGAGTGTGAGGGCATGAAATTAAGTTTCTGTACAGCAAAGCAAACAATTTTACAGAGTGAAGAAACAGTCTACAAAATGGGAGAAAAACTTTACCAGTTATCCATTCAATAGGGGATTAATGCAGTAAAGCAAACGCGTGTGCGCGCGCGCGCACACACACACACACACACACACACACACACACACACACACCACGCGCGCCACATATCATACAGCCAATAAATAGCCAAATAAATCAGTTCTCAAAAGTACAAATGGCCAAAAAATATGAGAAAGAAATGTTCAATATCTTTAGCTAACAGGGAAATGAAAATTAAAACTACATGGAGAGTTGATCTCATTCTAGTCAAGATGGCTATAATCAAGAAAACAAACAAAAAATGCTTGTGAGGATGCACAAAGGAAGGAAGCCTCAAAAACTACTGACAGGAATATGAATTAATGCACCCACTATGGAAATCAATATTTGAGGTTCTAACAGACTGAAAGCATAACTCTCATATGATCCAGTTATAACACTCCTAGGCATATATACCCAAAGGAATTTATGTCAGCATATCACAGAGATACACAATTGTGTTTATTTCAGCATTGCTTTTTTTTTTTAATTTAAAATAATTTATTTTGTATATTATGTGGGCATGAGTGTGCCAGAGTGTACATGTGGAGGTCAGAGAACAACTTATGGGAGTCAATTCTCTCCTTCCATCATGGGAGACCAGGGAATGGAACTCAGGTTATCAGGCTTAGGGACAAATACCTTTACCCACCGAACCATTATACTGGCCCTATTTGAATACAACTCACAATAGCCAAATCGTAGAATCAGCCTAGAATAAATAAGTATGCAACCAGATATATATATATATATCTTATTCATCCATAAAGAACTTATGCCAATTTTAGAAAGTTGGATGGAACTGGGGATTATTAGCAAAATAAATTGGGCTCAGAAAATGTTGCATGTTTTCGCTCATTTGCAGGCTCTAGCTTTAAAAATATAATACATAAAACTGGAGGGGGGACTATTTGGAAAGAAGATGGGGATAAAAAAGGGCAACAGGGGATTGAATATGATCAAAGTACAAGGTAAATCATTACTTTGTATAATGAATATATGGTAATGAAATCTTTTTTAAAAAGAAAAACCACTTTGTTCACTCCACAAGTCAACAAAGTATTTCATAAAGCCTTACCTATCTTCATCTTTGTCATAGAGCTGGTAATAATCTCCACAGCCATTCCAAAACGTACTATCCCGAGTTTCTTGCCTTCCTGCTGTGGCTCCATTTTCTGATGTTACATGATTATGTTCTGTTTCCCTCTGTGTAACTCTTGAGTAAGGTGGAGTCAGGAACATACACTCATGTTCTCCATCAAATTCTTCACACTTTATTAAAGGGTCTTCTGAGCTACATTCCTCAACTTCCAAAGCCTCTCTCCATCTCTGAACACTTCTTTGTTTAGCCTCATGCCTATTAAAACCTGTTTCTTGGTCTACCTGGCTTGAACTTACTACTTTTCTAACTTTTGGCCTCACTACCTGTTCAGGAGAACTTCCATGGCAGTTGTCACTGGTATTTTGTTCATTACAAATATGCCCTGGAACACAGGCTACATCTTGAGCTGAATTTTCTGCCTGTCTTTCCTGGTTGGTATTATCTTGTTGCTTCTCTCTAACAATGTCATCTTGAGAAGACCTCTGAAATTCCTGCCCATTCTCATGGACAAACTCAGTATTATCAGAACTTTTCACTAAACGTACTGAATCTAACTCTTCAAACTCATCAGTTATTTCACAGCTGAGAGATGGAACTGACGGAGAAAGATCAGTGTACACCTCTGCCTCTCCATTTTCCAGCTCAAATACTATATTGCTTAATACTTCCTGACATCTACCACCTTCCACAGCTTCTAGAGAAAGCTGAAGACAGTCATTATTTTTACCATGTTTGCTGTCTGCATCATTAGAGTCAGTATGAACCAATGACATTCCATTTTGGACACTTGAGACATTACAAATTCCTGGAGTATACTCTGTCTCAGAGTTATTATGAAGATTCTTATTGCTTTCTAAGGTCTCCCTGACTTCCTCACTATGACATACTGTGGCATAGGATGGGCTGCTCTCAGTGGTTTGATTCAGTGTTACACCACAACTGGGAATTTCTGTTTCACTTTTTTCAAATGTAGTTTCGTTGGGTAAAGGAGAATGAACTTGATCCAGTGAACTGGAACCTTCATAAAGAACAAAAGAAAATATTTTGGAGGGATTAATTTATATAAAATTTTATGTAGTAATATCAATTTAGTAGAAATCATTATCAATTATTACCTACTTGAAAATATGTGTGAATTGATTTGGCAAGTGCTTCTATGGTCCCTAACTTTACTGGTAATATAGACTGGTTACCCCGTGAGTTCAAGAGCCTGTCCCTCATGTTTCTTTTACAGATGGTTTCTTACCTAAGTCCTAATATCTAAGAGCTTCTCTAAGACAAAAGAGAGGAGGCTAATGAGAGGCTACACAATGACAAGCACAAGTAGAATCTGCATAATCGGCCCTCCCACTGATCTCCAAAGCTAACTTCTTTTATTACACAGTATTTTTTTAAAGAACAAAACTTCAAAAGTACTTATGTCATATATTAGTAACACCAGGTTACAGACCTATGAGAAATGAGACTTTAATTGTATTTTGTACTTTTCAGAAAAGTACATCAGATAGTTATCCAATAATTTACATGTTAGAACTATGACTGAAAAAAAAGTCAATATACTGATTAAATTTGCCATACTTTGTCAGAATTCTGATACATGAAGAAAAATCAAATCTAATAATTCTTTTAACTTGACTATCTTATTACCATTAAGTTTAATAAAAAAAGATACCGAGATGTGTTGGAACAAAAATGTATAAATCATAAAATAACTCAAGTTCAGTCTTATAACAGAAAATGTTCTTTATTGGAATGATCTTAGCTAACATTTCAGATTCTTTTTATGTTGTTTGTTGTTTTCTGACACAGGGTGTCCCTGTAGCCCCAGCTGGCCTGGACCTTGCTATGCAGACCAGGCTGGCCTCCATCTCACAGAGATTAGCCAGCCTTGGCCTATCCTGAGTGTACACCACCATGCCTGGCTCAGATTCTTTTTTTTTTTTTTTTCTGTCTTTTGAGACAGGGTCTCCCTGGAGCCCCAGCTGTCCTGGAACTCACTATGTAGACAACGCTGGCCTTGAACTCACAGAGATCCACCTGCCTCTGCCTCCCAAGTGCTGGGACTATAGGTATGAGCCACTACGCCTGGCTCAGATTCTTATATATAAGTGACAGTGAAAATATTCAATATTCTAGAATTATCCAGCTTGCTTAGAACCAGAAGATGAAACTAATAAATAGAAAAAATTATATGTGTATATA